TCTTAGTTAAGGGAGCCACTTTAGGGTGGGCAAGAGACTTGACCCTAGAGGGGCTCCCAGGTGCCCAAGCTGAGGTCCCCAGTTAGTTCCTTGGGCAGCTGAGGATAGGGAACCTGAAATGACCCTATCCTAGAGCAATACTGACGAATATCTTGCATATCATCATAGAACCTTCATCTGGTGATGGATGGAGATAGAGACAGAGACCCACACTGGAGCACTGGACTGAGCTCCCAAGGTCCCAATGAGGAGCAGAAGGAGGGAGAACATGAGCAAAGAAGTCGGGACCACAAGGGGTGCACCCACCCACTGAGACAGTGGAGCTGATCTACTGGGAGCTCAAGGCCAGCTGGACTGTGACTGAAAAAGCATGGGATAAAACTGGACTCTCTGAACATGGCGAACAATGAGGGCTGATGAGAAGCCAGGGACAATGGCACGGGGTTTTGATCCTACTTAATGTGCTGGCTTTGTGGGAGCCTAGCCAGTTTGGATGTTCACCTTCCTAGATATGGACGGAGGGGGGAGGACCTAGGACTTACCACAGGGCAGGGAACCCTGACTGCTCTTTGGACTGGAGAGGGAGGGAGAAAGGAGTGGGGGGAGGGGGAGAAGAGTGGGAGGAGGGGGAGAAGGGTAGGAGGAGGGGGAGGGAAATGGGAGGCTGGGAGGAGGTGGAAACTTGTTTTTTTTTTTCTTTCTCCTTTTCGCAATGAAAAAAATAAAAAATAAAAAAATAAAGTCAAGTATCTAAAGATCCCAGATGAGCCGGGCGGTGGTTGTGAATGCATTTAATCCCAGCACTTGGGAGGCAGAGACAGGTAGGTAGATCAGCCTAGCCTACAGAGCAAGTTCCAGGACAGGATCCAAAGCTACAGAGAAACCCTGTCTCAAAGAAACCAAAAAGATCACAGATGGAGAGATGTGAAGTGCCAAGGTATTTGGGGAAGTAAATGCTTACAACCTAGAACCTAACATGGTAAGTACTGTCTCTAAGAGCACAGCCCCTAGGTGGCAGACCTGGAATGTACATCAGTTTCCTACTTTAATATCTGAAGGGCTTTGGTCAAATCACTCAGCTCTAGAAAACTAAACCAGTTCACCTGTGAAGGAGCTGGAGGGAGACTGCTATATGCTAACACAGGAAACTGGGCTCTGTTAGCAGCAAGGTTAGGTGCAAGTAACTAGTAATACTTAGTCTACAGAAATTCAGCTTTCATTGTCACAATGCATATATGTGTGTGGGGGGGGTTGTTTTGGTGGTGAGGAATAACCACAATGCCAGGAGGTCAGAAGACAAGTTTAGTCAATTCTTTCCTTCTACTGAGGATCTGAGGTTCCTTGCACAGGTAGGTTCAGGTCAGACTCAGAGCAAGCACTTTTACCCACTGCACCACCTTGCCAGCCAAGAATGCACTCTTAAAAGAACCTGAGCTGGGTGTGGTAGCCCATTCCTTAATCCCAGCACTTGGGAGGCAGAGGCAGGCAGATCTCTGTGAGTTGGAGGACAGCCTGCTCTACAAAGAGAATTCCAGGACAGCCAGGACTGATACAGAGAAACCCTGCCTTGAAAAACAAGATCAACAAAGAAAGCTTATGAGTCCCAGGCTGGTTGGAGCTACACAGAGAAAACATGCCTCAAAAAACCTTTAAAAAAAAAGAAAAATCTGAGGACAGGGATTGGATATGGCACAGTTGGATATGGAAGACAGAGAGTGTGGCTGACATACCCAGGGGGCTCCACTGGAAAATGACTCTTCCTTTCCCAGAAGGTCTCAATTGCAGGTGACTTCTTGGTTAGCGGTGGGACCCAAATCCACTCCCCCCTCAGTTGTGGGAGCCCATCTGGCTTGAATTGTGTCTTGTGCATGCTGCCACAGTCTCTATGAATTAGTAAGCTTACCAGTCCTGTTATACTGGAAGACACTTTCCTTGGAGTCATCAGAACCTCGGGCTTAGAATCTTTCCGACTCCTCATTTCCTGAGCTTTGATGAAGACAGCCATTTAGGACTGAGTGCTGAAGTTTCTGCTGGGATTAAAGGTGTGTGCCACCATCACCTGGCCCCATTGCTTTGGTTTTAAAACAGCCTGTTTTTCATTTCATTTTATGGTGGCCTCAGTTTCTCATCTTTCTGCCTTTGTCTGTCGAGTGCTAGAACAACAGCTGCACACCGTATCTATCTGTGAGGGACACTTTTAATGAGTAAAAACCTTATCTTCTGACCACAATTTTCTTGTTTACCATTTGCTCAGGAGTGGTAGTCATCAGCAAGTAAACTTTGTGCTTTCTTTAGTTCATTTTTTGAGTTACTATTAGTTATAAAACTACCTTAGACCTGGATATTTAATTTGCATGGTTTCTATGGCTGTTAAAACAATAAAATTAATCTATTAGGAGTTACATTTTAAACAACATACCACCCAAGAATTTCTAATAAACATAACTTAAGCTTCAAAACAGGCTTTGAGAGATAGTCACTTGTAATCTAAGGCTCTGGGAATACACAACCTGGGGCTTCTGGGCCACATGCAGCTGCACACACCAAGGATAGCTCTAACTAAGGTCCAACACGAAAAAATGTAAACTTATATAGCATGATGATGGGGTGCTGAAGGTATGTTTGCATATGAAATGTGTTAAAGATGATTCAAAATGGACATGCCTGAAGCCAACTCTCATTTCCCCTGAGTTATAAATGCTTTAGAATGACTTAAAACTTTGTTACTGCTTTCATCTGTCTTCATTAGGTGTTCTACCTAATGCTGATGTTTGTCCAAACTTTAAGATAGCATTTATCTCTGAGATTCCTATTGGTTTTGGTTGTTTTTTTAACCTCTATATCTCCTCATAAAATTCTTTGAGGAACAAATAAATTACTTCATCGGCCAAAAACCTGGCATTTATCAGAAACCAGTACAGTCACATGTCAGTAACCGAGCTAATAATGCAGGTACAAACAGGAGTGGGACATCCTCATTCCCCATCTGACCCCTTGCCTAACGAGACACAGACAGAGATGAAAAACAAAGGGCATTAATTAATCTGCTATTTCTGGCTTCTGAGAGAAAAAGTCATATAGTTTAAGGATAAGTGAGTGATCTCCACGTAATCATAAGAGGCAACTTCAGCTCAATTATGCCAAATTAGCTCAAAGAACTAGAAATGAACTCAAGTCCACTGAACTTTTGTGTTGTGCCAAAAAAGAAGAGAAGCTTTCCCATGAGCAAACAGCCACCCTAGCGTTTCTGTTATTCAATTGTCTCTAAGCGCCTTGTTGTCTACATACAGATCTATCAGACCCGGAGGAGTGACTACGCCACAATGGCAAAGAGGGAAACTCCCGAGGGAGCGCCCATAAACTCATTCCTCTCAGTCCTCACACAGGGCAGCAGCACTTCTACACCACCAGAACCACATGACATTTGATAAGAAGCTAGAGATTTCTGTTAAACTGGAAAAGGCCAAGTGTGCTCACACCATAATGGAAGTCACAAGCTAACACCATAAAAGAAAGGGAAATAAGTTATAAAAAACTGGCAGGAAGACTACATAGAAATCTATGTAGAAAGAAAAAAAGAAAATCAGCTTAAAGTAATAGTGTAACATTACAGCAGAGATGCTATACATAAACAATTCCTAGTCTACCAACTAGAATTTGAAATTAAATATAAAATGCTACTAATCCCCACAGAGACAAAATCTACTACATCCCAAGGTTAAAATGAAGAAAACTGTAAAACTCTGACAAATAAAATAAGAAAATTAAATAGTCCTTTTATGTATACAGTAAAATTCAATAAAAATAGATTACTATTTGTCTATGTAATTTAGAGGTTAATAAAACAGTCCCCAAACAGACCCAGGAGACAAAGCCTCCTGACCTTTGACTAAAGGGCAAAAGCAGCACAGCAAACAAACTGTTAAAGCAATGGTGCTGAAGGCAGTGGGTGTGCCAAAAGTGAGAGCACACACTGACCTTAGACCTCCATCAACTCACCACACAACAGGCCAGAGACACATAAAACCCCCACAGTATTTAAAATAAGAGATACACCATGGTATGAGAAACAACAATAACTAGTAAGTTGGTTATTGCTCAAAGTAAAAGCTGTGGATGGGATACTGTTTAGAGAATGAGAGGATAAGCAACAGACACCTGATAAAGAACTCTTCAAAGTCAGTGAGAAAAGAAAAGTTCAGTTCAACGTGAACAAAAGCTGGAATGGTGATATGTTCCTGTAGTCTGGGAGGAGGAGGCAGGAGGCTCAGCTACACAGGTCATGTTCTACATGAAACACCATCAAAACAGAACAACCCCAAAAAAGATAAAGTACGTGGCAGATGAGCATATAAAAACCATTCTCGGCACCATGTCATTTAGAAAGGTGAACCGAAACAATAAAGATACTACTGTACCCATTAGAAAAGCTACCGCGGACAATAGCAACAGCTGGAATGGGTTTGACGATACAGAGCTCTCATTTATTGCTAAGGTTAGTAAGTGTAAACTAGCACATTTAATCTTACCATTACTGTCCAACAATCAAAACCTTAAATGTGCATGTGAAATAAGTCAACTTGAATATGCTACATTGTGTATATTCCAAACAAACAGAGGGCAGTGAAACTAACCTGTTTGATTTTCAGTCACAGATTTGTGTCATTTTACATCTGAGAATAGCAGCAGACATCACAGCCCCAGGAGAGAACTCCAGGGTAATGAACAGACTTTGGACAGCTATGATGTGCCAACACTGACTTGCTGCTAACACTCGTACAACCTCAGTGTTAAAGAAAGCTGGAGGTGAAGCTAGGAGTGGCACTTAAGACCTCTTGTACTCACCATTCCTTTTCTCCTAAAGTCAACTCATTCATTCATTCATTCATCCATTCATACAAACACACGCACTCAGTCACCACCATCTAGAGGCACAGTTCTCATCCCCTTTTCAGACACATGCAAGGTTTCATTCCGAGTCTCCAAGAGTCCCCACTTACTAGTTGTGCTGTGTGATGGGTTCTATATTCATCTTCACTCTGAAAACGCTGCTGAAACTTTTCATTGTGTTTTGCAATACAAATTTCCTAGAAAAATATAAAAATGTGTTTTAACTAAAATGAAACTTATAAAGACCACGGAAAAGTTTATCTGACTCGTTTTCCTGAGAAGCAGAGCTAATGAGGACCAGCTCCTCCCTCCTTAAAAAGCAATCTCCACATCTCTGCAGGGTTAGACCGGCCATTAAGATCTGTCTAACCCTAACAGCAGTGCCTCAGTCCACTCTCTTATCCCAACCTCACTAAATAAGGCTAAGCATACTGACATCACCAATCAGAATATTTTAGCTGTCTTTTCAATGGGGGCTACAGGAAGTCCTGGAGCTGTGTCCTTAGTAAGTCACCCTCAGAACATGTGGGGCACAAACACTGGCTGTTAAGAATATATGTAAGAGGGCAACTTTAAGAGAAATAAAAATGTTTAATGTAAGAAGCTGAGAGTAGGTAATGGCTACTTAGTTTTAAAAATGGAAGCAATGATGATAAATCATTTTACAATTTGAATTATCAGACATGGATCAAGGATAGAGTAATGAATAAAAACAAGGTTTCACTACCTTTTTATTTCTGAGGTAGGCCTTCTTGGCTGAGACGCGCCCCCTTCTTGCTTCTAGCTGGCGTGCCTTCTGCTGCAGTTTCTGGAGCTCTTCCCTCTGTGCTTGCACAGATGCCACCGTCTCCTCCTTCTCCAGCATGGCCTCCATGCTTTCGTAAGTGTCATAGTATACCACTTCATCTCTCTTTTCTGTCACAGAACGAGTTCTTTATTAAATGGTGATTAAAAGGTGATGAAATAAACCCCAGATTAAATTATGCAAAATTTTCAGCAGTGTCTGGTATACAGGAGGTGTTCAATAAATGCAGACCCAACTCTTCCACTCCACGCAGCAAAAGTGCAGAAATTCTAATTCTAGATGAAGCTCCTTTAACAAAGTGGGTATGCTACAATACTCAAAACCAACATGCAGTCCGAACTGCGGAGTTCATTCACGTCCAAGGACTCCTTCAAAACATTTATGTTCATATTTTTTTAAGCCTTAGGAGAAACACAGTTGGGGTCCATGTCCTTTCTCCACATCCTCTACCTTCTGTGGACCTCTGTAGTTAAATGCACACCATACCTGATATAAGTCTTTTGATGCTCTCCAGTTGTGCGGTCAAAAGTAACTCTTCACACTTCAAGATTTCAAACTGCACTTCATACAACTGAAGCTGCAGATCATAGTAATCAGCTTCAAGCTGATCCAAGTGAGCTATAGCTTCTGTACCTCCCTGCAAACTTTGCATCTGCAGTAAAAATAAAAACACTGCTATTAACTGGTGAAGAAAGTCAACTAGATATTAACACTAATCCAATAAGCTAAATCCCAAAATGAGTACCAGACAGTGGTGGTGCATGCCTTTAATCTCAGGCTTACAGGGCGAGTTCCAGGATAGCTGGAAATAGGGAGAAAACGGGGGCTGAGGGGGTAAGAGTAAGACTTCTGCCGAGCTGTGTGTGGCACTGTAGTCTGAGGCTAGCTTGGAGAGCACAGGCCTAAAGTCAGACATGTGAGCTACTTGGGAATTGAAGACAGCAGACTGTCAACTAGGCTAGCCTGCTAAAGAGTTTGTTCAGGGTCAGTAGGACAACTTGTTGAGACAATTATCTCAAAATTAAAAAGTTATAAAAAAAGCAGCTGACAGCTCAGATATGGAAAGTCTGTCTACATCTACAATATCACTATTCAGGTTCACCTACACCAACATAAAGTGGTGGGGAGGCAGTGATACTTTTACAAAATATACATAGAACCAAGGAAGAAAGAGAAAGGGCACCTCCTAAACATAAGGAAAAAACAAAGTAAACCCAAAAATTTCAAATCAGTAGTAAATCATAAACAGTGAAAAAAGTTTTAATGTAACTTAACACAAAGCAAACTTTTAATGACTATACCATAGGTCATTCATATTTAGGGTATCAGTGTATTATCATCATCCCGACACAAATCTCAGTGGTTTCTCTTCTCAGTTCAGAAACAGATGCTGAGTTACAGCGTCCCCTTGCCACGATAAACACACAGATGTTTATCATTACAGCAGAGTGGGAGAAACCAATCCCTCCACACCGCGGAGATGGTGAGTGAAGAGAGTATGTTTTAAGTAGATCAGTCTCAGAGAATTGCTTTAGATGAGAAAAGTCCTTGCAACCTATGGGTGATGGTCACTGTTATTTCTGGTAACAAAGACCTTTAATAGAAATAAAATCAGAGCCTGAGATTGGGCCTACACTGGAATCCCACAATTTCTGGGGATACTTCTGAAGTGGTAGATGTCTTGTATGAGCTCGTGTGGCTGGCCCTGTAAGAGGGCTACTTGAAGAAATCAAATTCAGAGAAAGGAGGGTTCAGAACTGCTTCCCAACACTACTTCAAGCAGATGCAGCTTTTCCAGAGGCTCCTTGGGCTTTGTACGTCAGACTGTAAGCATCCTTCTAAGAACATTTCTTCTAGAATATAGTACGACTGTTGTGTCTTTAGTTGCCCCGAAAGTCCAGTTCCATAGCCATCAATGTGCCTGGAGATCCTGGTAGCACTGGCTTCAAGTGTTTGCAGACGTGACTACCAAAGGCCAAAGGGAAAGAAGGAAAGGAATTTTTAAAGCCTCACTCATGTGAGGCTGATATCCTTTGGGTCCCCAGTTCAGAGGTACTTTCCTAGACCACTGCTCTAGGAAAGCCTATGGCAGAAAGGCGGGGACTCCATATTACTGTTGAATGGTCCCTTTGTCTTGAAGGTAATGGACACATAAGAGCACAAAAGAATATTTTGAACAAGATTTTAGATTTTGTTGGCTGAGAAACAGGGAGATGTTCATCATACTTAGCCATCAAGGGTTTGCAAATCAAAATGACTGAGATTCCATCTTATGATTGTCAAAATGGCCAAGATCAAAAACACAAGCGACAGCTCATAATGGAGAGGATGTGGAGTAAAAGGAACACTCCTCCATTGCTGGTGGGAGTATAAATGTATACAGTCACTTTGGAAGTCAGTGTGGCAGTTTCTCAGAAAACTGGGAGTCAACCTACCTCAAGACCCAGCTGTACTGTTCTATACACCCAAAGGATGCACACTCATACCATAAGGACAATTCCTCAACTATGTTCATAGCAGCGTTATTTGTAATAGAACCTAGAAAAAACTTACATGTCCCTCAACTGAAGAATGGATAAAGAAAATGTAGTATATTTACATAATGGAATATTACTGAGCTGTTAAAAACAAGGATACCAGAAAATTTGAAAGCAAATGGATAAACTAAAAAAAAAAAAATCATCCTGAGTGAGGCAATCGAGGTATGTACTCACTCACAAGTAGATACTAGCTATAAAATAGAGGATAACTATGCTACAATCCATAGACACAGAGAGACTAGGCAACAAGGAGAGTTCATGGGGGACACATGGATCTCTACTGGGGGAGGGGGAGGGAAATGGGAGGCGGTGGCGGGGAAGAGACAGAAATCTCTAATAAATAAATAAATTAAAAACAAACAAACAAACAAAAAAAGAAATAGAAAATAGAATTGATTTTGTGAGTTGACTGAGGACAGGTGGGGATGGGAACATGAGCAAGCAGGTGAAAGGGTGGACAGGAGAGTACTGAAAGAGACTACTGGAAGGGGGTAAGGTAAAAATCTGGTACAAGGAAACCTAAAGGAATTTACAAGGATGACCCCAACTAAGACTCCGAGCAATAGCAGATATGTAGCCTGAACTGGCCATGTCCTATGACCAGATTGGTGCCTAGCCCAATTTTCAGAGAGGCTTCATCCAACAACTGAAGGAAAGAGATGCAGATACATAGCCAAGTATTAGGTGGAGCTTGGGGAATCCTACAGAAGAGAAAGGATTTTAGGAGCCAGAGGGTTCGAGGACACCCTCTGGACACAAGAAAACTCATAGAACTAAACTGAACTCATAGAGGCTCACAGAGACTGAACTGACAACCAGGAAGTCTGCATGGGACTTTACATATATGTTGTGTAGTTTGGTCTCTTATGGGACTCCTAATAGTGTGAACAGGGGCTGTCTCCAACGTTTATTGACTTTTGGGACCCTACTCCTAATATAGGGTCATCTTGATCAGCCTTAATACATGAGGAAATACTGAGTCTTACTACAACTTGATATGTCATGCTTTGTTGACCTACAGGAGAACTGCCCTTTCCTACGAAGAAAGAGAAGAATGGATTGGAAGGCGGGAACAGAAACCAGTTGGGAGAGGGACTGGGTGGAAAGGAGGAAGAAAACAGCAGCTGGGATATAAAATATTATAAATATATATATTATATATAAAGGATTTTGCTTTATAATCTAAATATTTGTACAGATTACCCAGTGACTAGAATGCTTTTCCTTTTTAAAAAAGATTTATTTATTAATTGTGTATACAGTGTTCTATTTTCAGGTTTGCCTGCATGCCAGAAGAGGAGATCAGCCCTCATTATAGATGGTTGTGAGCCACCATGTAGGTGGTTGGAATTGAACTCAGGTCCTCTGGTAAAGCAATCAATGCTTTTAACCTTTGAGCCATCTCTATAGTTCTAGAATGTTTTTCTTACTGCCTAATGTCAAATACATTTAGTAAGACAGAAAAAGAAATGGTTAGGTTTAGTGGTACACATTGAAAACTAACCCCAGCCAGGCATGATGGCGCCCACAGAAGGGAGCAGAGGCAGGAAGAACTTTGTTGAGTCTGAAGCCTGGTCTACACCATTAAGTTTCAGGACAACCAGTGATGAACAGTGAGACCTTGTTTCCAAAAATAATAAAAATAACTCCATGAATTCAGTCTGGTTAAATCTTTCAATAAATTTCATAAACAAGCTATTAAGTAATCAACAATCAATAGACAAAAAAGGGCAAGCCCTCAACATGGGAAGGGTAAAAAACAAGGAAAAACTGGAGATGTGAGAGGCTCTAGTGGAGAAATATAGATTCTGCCAATGACAGCTATACATCTGGGTATATGGAGTACAAGAAAATACAGTACAAGCAAGTAGGATTGTCTAACTCCACATTCCACAAAACTTTGAGAACTTAACATTTCATTCTGTCTTTGATGTCAAATCTAATCTCAGAATGCATTTGTAGCAAAACAATCTGATTTGATATTAAACCACATGTAATTCTTATTTTTCCATTTAATGTAACATGTTGTATCACCATGAAATCAACAGCTTCCTGGAAGTTAGCTGCTCTGAACATTATCTTCTAAAATCCCGACATAACTGGAATTCCTCAATGATGGAACATATCCTCAATGATTTCAGGAATGTTTCTGAAACTTAGATGATAATATAAAGAAATAAGGAAGGGCCTAAAATACAGAAATTTTCCCATTAGGGAAGGAGATAGAAAGATGGCTCAGCAGTTTAAAGCACATGCTGTTCCAGGCTTTCAGCCCCTACATCAGGCGCCCACAACTCACTCCTAAACCAGGGGTCAGGCGCAGCCCTCCTGACTCCACAGGCCCCAGTACTCACAAGCATATACTCACAGTCACATATATACACACTTAATCTAAAATAATAACCTTATCTTTTTAATTCCCCTGGGGCTGGAGAAATGGCTCAAGGGTTAAGAGCACCTACTATTCTCCAGAGGACCTGGGTTCAATTCCCAGCACCCACATGACAGCTCACACCTGTTTGTAACTCTAGTCTTCAGAGTTCTGACACGTTCTTCTGAACTACATAGATATTTGTCATGGTCATGATACACAGACAAGCGTGCAGACTAAATACTCATATGCATAAAAATAAATAAATTGAAAAGAATTAAAAAAATAACTTCCTTTTGTTGGGTAGCTCCTGTGAATATCTAAGCTGGATAGCAAAAACATTAAATAGAGCCAGGCATAGTGCCGCACGCAGAGGCAGGAAGGGGAGTCCAAGGCCAGACTGGTCTACAGAATGAGTCCCAGGACAGCCAGGACTAAATAGAAAATCTCTGTCTCAAGTGTTTTGTGTGTGTGTGTGGGGGGGGGGGGGATTAAAATAATATAAATCAAAATATAATAAAACCTTGACGTGTGTATTCTGGAAAAGTAATTGGTTTCTCCCACTCTGCTGTAATGATAAACATCTGTGTGTTTACTGTGGCAAGGGGACGCTGTAACTCAGCATCTGTTTCTGAACTGAGAAGAGAAACCACTGAGACTTGTGTCGGGATGATAATACACTGATACCCTAAATATGAATGAACTATGGTATAGTCATTAAAAGTTTGCTTTGTGTTAAGT